AAAGGAAGGAGAAAAGGGAGGGAGAGAGGAAGGAGAAAAAAGAGGAAGGAAGGAAGGAAGGAAGGAGAAGGTCAGGGAAAAAGGGAGGGAAGAAGGGTGGGAGGGAGGGAGGAAGGAAGGAAGGAAGGAAGAAAGAAGGAAAGGGAATGGGTGAAAGCTGGTCAGAGGGAGATCCAACCGGGAACTCAGGAGAAACTTCCCAACAGTCAGGACAATTAACCAGTGGAACAGCTGGCCACCAGAAGTTGTTGGTGCTCCAACACTGGAAGTTTTCAAAAAAAGAGATTCGACAACCATTTGCCCATGATGGTATAGGATCTCCTGCCTGAGTAGTGGGTTGGACTAGAAGGCCTCTGAGGTCCCCTTCCAACTCTATCCCTCTACATCCAACCTTCTTTCAAGCCCCAGAAACTCACCTCCCCCGTTTTGGTAACAGATGTACGGAAAGCGCCAAACATTGCCCAGGTCCACCGCGTAGCCGATGACCGAGAGGAGGAAGTCCATTTTTTTACTCCAGGTCTCTCTCTCCCGCGGTCCCGTGGAAGGCGACGGACGTTCTACTACCCCGCCGAAGACGGCGGTGCTGGTCGGCAGGCCAGGGGAGGGTCCGGAGGGGTGGCCCCGGGGGTCTCCGGCCACCTTGCCAGGACCGAGCGGGCTTTGAGCTCCGGAGAAGCCGTTGGACACCGGACTGGAGGCCCGGTGGTTTTCCCCATGGCTGGCTGGGTTGGGTTTCTGGACCCCGTCGGTCAGTTCCAAAGTTGGCTTGTGGGTGTCCTTGTGCAGGAGGTGGCGGTTCTCCGTGCAGTCGCTTCCGTCTCTGCAGTCCGAAGGCCCCTTCGGGGAGGGGAGAGGCTGGGCCTCCTCCTTGGAGACGGTGCTGTCCATCCCGCCGGTTAGAAGAGCCCTGTCCGCCAGTCCATGGGCCACACAAGGACTTCGGGCGGCCCGATGGTCTGGAGAAGGTCCCGGAGACCACACCTTCACGCTAGGAGAGGTTGAAGAACACCTGTTGCCGATGGGAGAGAAAAACACAGGGAGAGGTTATGGCCGGCAGTCCTCAACTTGTAACCACAACCGCGCCTCAAATTTCCACCGCTAAGTGAGACAAGTGAGAATAGAATGGAATAGAGTAGAGTAGAATAGAATAGACTATAGAATAGAACAGAATATAGAATAGAACATAACTATAGATTATAGAACAGAACAGAATATAGAACATAGAATAGAATAGAAATAGGAGTAGAATAGAATAGAATAGAGTAGAGTAGAGTAGAGTAGAGTAGAGTAGAATAGGCTATAGGCTATAGACTAGAACAGAATATAGAAGAGAATAGCAAATAGAATAGAATAGAATAGAACATAGAATAGAATAGCATCTAGAATGGAATAGAGTAGAGTAGAGTAGAATATAATGTAGAATATAATATAGAATATAGAATAGAACAGAATATAGAGTAGAATAGCATATAGAATAGAACAGAATAAATTATAGAATATAGAACAGAATATAGAATATAGAATATAGAATAGAATAGCATATAGAATGGAATGGAATAGAATATAGAACAGAATACAGAATATATGCTTGTGCTCATAAGTTTACATACCTGGGCAGAATTTATGATTTCTTGGCCATTTTTCAGAGAATATGAATATGAAACTTTTCTTTCACTCATGGTTACTGGTTGGCTGAAACCATTTATTATCAACCCACTGTGTTTACTCTTTTTAAATCATAACGACAACATAAACTACCCAAATGACCCTGATCGACAGTTTACATACCCTGGTGATTTTGGCCTGATAACCTGCACACAGGTTATGGCACAAAAGGGTTTGAATGGCTATCACCTGTGCTCTGTTTGCTTATAATTAGTGTGTGTGTATAAAAGGTCAATGAGTTCCTCACTCCTGACAAACCTTTGCATCTTTCATCCAATGCCGCCCTGGCGTTTCTGGCTTCTGAGTCATGGGGAAAGCAAAAGAATTGTCAAAGGATCTGCGGGAAAAGGTAGTTTATTTTTTATTTATTTATTTTTGTCAATTGCTTACAAGATAATAGGTATGAGTAAAAACATAGCTATGAATATACATGGAGACCTATAAGAAAAATAAAAATAAAAGTCGAACTGTATAAAACAGGAAAGGGATATCAAACGATACCCAAGGAATTGAGAAGCAGTGTAACACTACTAAAGAAGTGGAAAATGAAACCAAACCACGGTTAGGTTAAACCAACTAATATTTCAGACACAACTGTCCGGAAAATTGTTCGGGAGGCAAAGAAAAACCCCCACAAATAACTTCAGGGGAAATACAGGATTCTCTGAAAACTTCTGGTGTGGCTGTTTCAAGATGTACAATAAGGTCGAGTCTCCGGAAGGAAGCCCTTACTACGCAAACGCCACAACGTGTCCTGCTTACAACACGCCAAACGGCACAGAGACAAGCCTCCATCCATCCTTCTGGCACGAAGGCATTTGGAGCAATGAGACCAAAATCGAGCTTTCGGGCGCAGCCATAAAACGCTACATTTGGAGAGGAGTCAACAAGGCGTAGGGTGAAAAAGTACACCTTTCCTACCGTGAAACATGGAAGTGGATCGCTGATGTTTTGGGGATGTGTGAGCTACCAAGGCACAGGAAATGCAGTCAGAATGGATGGCGAGATGAACGCAGTCTGTTATCAACAGGTAACCTACCTATTGTTTCTTTTTATTTTTCTTATGTGTACCCATTTCATGCATTCATAACTATGTATATACTTATACCTGTTATCTTGTAAGCGATTGACAAATCAAAATCAATAAAATAAAATAAATTTGCGTTTTCATCAGCCTGGAAGCTCGTACTTGGACATTCCAGCATGACAATGATCCTAAACACAAGGCCAGGTCGACCGGTCACTCGGTACAGCAGACTAAAGGGAAGGTTCTGGAGTGGTCATCTCGGTCTCCTGACCTCCATATCATGGAGCCGCTCTGGGGAGATCTCAAACGTGCAATTCACGCAAGACAGCCCAAGAATTTACAGGAACTGGAGACTTTCGGCCAGGAAGAACGGGCAGTTTTACCCATCTGAGAAGATAAAGAGCCTCATCCACACGTACCACAAAAAGACTTCAAGCTGTCATTGGTGTTAAAGGGGGCAATACCCCGTATTAAGAACTGGGGTCTGAAAAGTTTTGGTCAGGGTCATTTGGGTAGTTTCAGGGGTCGTTATGATTTAAAGAGAGTAAACACAGTGGATTGATAATAAATGGCTTCAGCCAACCGATAACCCTGAGTGAAAGAAAAGTTTTTGTGTTATCATTCAGATTCTCTGAAAAATGGCCAAGAAATCAGAACTTCTGCCAGGGTATGTAAATTTATAAGCATAACTGTAGAATAGAATAGCATATAGAATAGAATAGAATATAGAATAGAATAGCATATAGAATAGAATATAGATTAGAATGGAATATAGAATAGAATATAGATTAGAATGGAATATAGAATAGAGTAGCATATAGAATATAGATTAGAATGGAATATAGAATAGAGTAGCATATAGAATAGAATAGAATATAGAATAGAATAGCATATAGAATAGAATATAGATTAGAATAGAATATAGAATAGAATATAGAATAGTGTAGCATATAGAATATAATATAGATTAGAATATAGAATAAAATATAGAATAGAATATAGAATAGAATAGAATACAGAATAGAATAGCATATAGAATAGAATAGAGAATAGAATAGCATATAGAATAGAATAGAATAGAATAGAATAGAATAGAATAGAATAGAATATAGAAGAGAATAGCATATAGAATAGAGTAGCATATAGAACAGAATAGAATATAGAATAGAATATAGAATAGAATAGCATATAGAATAGAATAGAATAGAATAGAATAGAATAGAATAGAATAGAATAGAATAGAGAATAGAATAGCATATAGAATAGAATATAGAATAGAATAGATTAGAATAGAATATAGAATATAGAATAGAATAGCATATAGAATAGAATATAGACTAGAATAGCATATAGACT